TCAAGTTTTTTTTTACCTTCCCAATTTTCTTCAAATGACGTGCTACAGTTCCGAAGTCAACTCCCAGCTCTTCAGCAATTTCCCTTGTGGATGCTCTTGGGTTGGCTTCTATCTGTGCCTTCAATTCGTCGTCTTTAACTTCCGATGGCCGACCGCGTCCCTCCTGATCTTCCAGGTTGAAGTCTCCATTTCGGAATTTGTCGAACCACCTACGCGTGGTGCGCTCATTTGTAGTACCTTCGCCCCATGCGTTGGTGATATTCCTAGCTGCTTCCGCAGCATTACGGCCGAGTTTGTACTCGTGAAGCATGATGAGTCGGATTTCGCGTCTTGACAATATCTTCACGAGCGACCCAAAATCGTAGAATAAATGGTGGCAGAGAAACGGGAAAAGGTTTGTACGATAGCACGAAACATGTGCTTCCGAACGATATGTTAAATTACTATATTTGCCTAATTTCCAATTAATTATGATCAGTGGAACATAGCAGGTGCGAAAACGGTCATTATTTTTGCCACGACCTAATACATCAATTACGACAAAGACCAAGAGAACTTGTGATGATGTCTGCGAGAAAATACCGAGGGAATCTCAAGGATTTTCAATGAAGTCAGATCAATAAAAGTCACCAATAAAGTCCACGTCGATCAATGTCAAACTTCAGGGAAGTTTGTTCCCACTGCATCGGGATGTCTCGGAATCTCGAAAAGATACCTCGTTGGGTGGCGACTCCCGTCGAAGCATATGGCTTCTATCAAGGAAAAAAGTTATGCGATATGTTTAAAGACAGCCCCCGCGCTCAAGTAGTACATGGTCGTCCTTCCTTGTGCAGGTAGTTCAGCCCCCAAGCTAGATACTGTCCCACTCTCGCGACTCCACAGCGAGCGAGGAGCGAGCTACAGCCGCTGAAAGTTCTAGTTCTAACGCCCGCCAGTTGGACCGCCCACTTGCTAGATGCCCTCTGACGGAGAGCCGCTCAGTTGTTCTTTGTTGGGACGGCGGGCATTAATCGGAACTGCATGTCCTTTTTGCTGACCGCGCTCGTGCCCATTAATAATTCTGCTCTCCTTCATCACATTCACTGTGAGCACATACAGTCAACTGCAACCCATCTCGTAAGGTAAAACGCGTAAAAATCACGAATGATGCAATTTCTGTGGTGCAAAAGCTCGACATGCACCAAAAGCTGCACACTGCACGTAACCCCAAATTCGGACGCCAGGTTTTTGAATTTTTCCTTTTTTCAAGTGTTTTTCGTTCGTGTCTTTGTTTTTTCATATTCTTTTCTTTGAATTGGATGTTGTCCACTACTGGGAAATGCCATAAAGCGATTTGTGAGCCAGGGGTTGCCCACGGACCGCAGGGCGGTGTAACTGTAAGGGAGCAATTTTGTTTGTGGTGTTCTTGAGGGCTCTTGTTGCTTTTTCCTTCATTGAGGAATTACTTATCAGCTGCTGTTTCATACAAGACCTTAATTGTCAAACGTACATTTCACGCCAGCGAAGTCAGTCGTCTCGCGTCGCGGTCATTGCGCGGCGTGCGTTGATCGATTGAATGTGGATTCCTGTCAGATGATATTGACAATTAAGTTCTTCTGTAATAGAAGAACTTAATTGTCAATATCATCTGACAGGAATCAGAACGCACGCCGCGCAATGACCGCGACGCGAGACGACTGACTTCGCTGGCGTGAAATGTACGTTTGACAATTAAGTTCTTCTCTGTTTCATAAGGCAGCGTTCAGACTTGTAGCGCTACAGCGTCGCGCTACAGCGCCGCTTCGCAACGTACTGCTATTTCCAACGTTAGGATGATTAGAGTTGCTTACAGAGAAAAGTGGGAAGGTTGCTGGAGTTTTCTTGAGAAATTCACGGAAGGTGAGACTGATACAGCTGTAACTATCTGACGCCATCCTTGACAGTTACTCATTGGGCACTAGTTTTCTCGTTACTGCTTTTAGCCCGTAGCAGTGTCTTCGTCTATGTTAAGCGAGCATTTTCTGGCAAAAAACACTCCCAAGAGTAACTTCGCGGCCATCTAAAAAACATCATGGCTTGCCATCTGTACGTGGATGCAAAAACTATTTCGTCATCGGAGTCAACGTGAGGCACCACTGCAAGGCATCAAGCAAAGCCATCAAAAGATCGAATAGCAATCTCTGGAAACCAAATAATTGATAAGACAAATCGTTTAAATAAAACTAATTATCACAGTCTTCTGTATCAAAAACTACATTAAAATGTGATAAAGTAGAAAACAGGAGCTCACTATCAGATAAATATGAGAAACAAAGAGAAAAGGGTTGAATACAGAAAGAATGAATACAGAATCCAATGCCGCTTATGGATTATGGAGCGAAATCTGCTTTTCAAATTTGCCCCCAATCTCTGGCTGAAACACAGGAAAAAAAATGTGGTGTCTAGGCGGAAGGGTGGCGCCTTTATGCTATTCGAGAGAGAACTGTTCTCCCTCTTAACGGTGGTTCAAAGTAGAGTGAGGATAAAGTTTATCCTTATAGCACGAAAAAGCGTGTGGTCGTGCTCGTCGACCAATACCTAACTGATGTACTCGCCCCGCCCCTTAGGAGCGGGTGCGGTGGCGGGTTCTGGCTCAAAGGCCAGAACACTCCCGCCGGCCACAAAAATGAGCAAAATTACAACTAATACACAATAAATAGATCATAAGCCGACGTCTTCTTTTGTTGCTTCGGGCTGCATCAGGGCCGTCGTCGCTTGAATCCTTGCTGTCCGCGGTTGGCGCACAGTAGTACGTTGTGTGGTCTCCCACACGCAGCACACTGCACGCCACAATCCTCACTTCCCGCATGCGCTGGTTTGAGGCATCGGCCACAAAGACCGAGCCTTGCAACCTGCATGCTCTTCGCAACCGAGTCGGGGAACCGGCTGCATCGTTGTGACCATCACGATTCTCTTAACGGTGGTTCAAAGTAGAGTGAGGATAAAGTTTATCCTTATAGCACGAAAAAGCGTGTGGTCGTGCTCGTCGACCAATAGCTAACTGATGTACTCGCCCCGCCCCCTTAGGAGCGGTGCGGTGGCGGGTTCTGGCTCAAAGGCCAGAACAAAAGATTTATGCCGGTTTTCGAGGCATTCACAGCCAACAAAGCTTTGACAGTTTCTTGTACTTTTTTGGCCTAGGAGCGTAAACATGGCCTTATCTCCCACAACAGGCACGCGAACACTGTCTCGTCACCAATGCGTTCAACAAAGGCAAAACAAGAAGTTCTTTATGGATTCTTGTGTCTCCGGTAAAAAAAAACATGCGTGCGTGTTTAGGTGGCGCGAGTACTCTTTGGGTGTTTTTTGCAGAAAATGCTCTTAATAGGACAGAAGGACACTGTTACGCTAAAAGCAGTACCAGAAAAATAGTGACTAATGGAGTAACTGTCAAGGATGGGTCAGATAGTTACAGCTGTATCAGTCTCACCTTTCCGTGAATTTCTCAAGAAAACTCCAGCAACCTTCCCACTTTTCTCTGTAAGCAACTCTAATCATCCTAACGTTGGAAATAGCAGTACGTTGCGAAGCGCGCTGTAGCGCTACAAGTCTGAACGCTGCCTAATTGATCAGCAATTATCCTTGACACTTTTATCGTGGGAGCTGTCTTTAAGTCCTTTCCGCATCAACCAAAAACAACTGTTTCCCTGCATTTGTAGTTCGTTCGAGTACATTTTGTATTTTTTTTTCTCAAGACACGATCTTCCAACAGTGACCTCCTACTACTCTTCCTACTTTTACTACTACTTTTAGCTCAAACTTGAACAGTTAAACCTGTACTAAGACCATCCCCGACACCGGATTTTTGCAATGGAAAACTTTTAGAAAAAGAAACCGTTAGAAGCCGTATTAGCCCACGAGTGGCGTGAGAAGAGAAGTTTCTAAACCGCTACTGCCTTGAACAAAGAGATCGAACCAAAGAAAAAACTGCAAGAAGTTTGTGGGCCAGGAAAAGATTAGGACGAATTTACGTTTACTGTAGCGCATAATGCATACATTATCACGAGAGAAAAGAACCGATTATTCCTCTGAATATCAGAAATTCAACCAGAAAAAAAAACTGATTCGGAAATTCAACAATAAGATTTTCGGGAAACGTCAGCCAAGTGGCTGACGTTGTCAACTGTGCATGGCCTAGAAACACACAGAGCTGATCCGATGTGCATTTCAGGACTGACAGCGACATTTCGTGCCAAACTGCACTTCTCAACATCAAAGGATTTTACGAGCGAATTGTATAGCCACGAATGCCAGATACTGCAAAAGAGAAAACGTCGTAGACGTTGGAACTGAAGGAGCACTTGAATGGTGAATTATTGTCGTGCGCGACGAGAGTAGCTACATGTCCGCAGTGCAGCAGTGTAGCAAAAAGCTTAGAAATGTTTTGGCCGATAAATGAAATGGGGCTCAGCCAGCCAGCTGAACCATACAATTTGAAGACCGCATGATGAATAGTCTGTTGCAGTCTGTCATAGAAGCAAAACAATAAATGGATGCAGTTAACCAGCCAGGTTCCGGCCGTTGAGCCACAGAAAGCCCAACTATGAGCGAAGCGAAAGATAGAGAGAAAGAGATAAAAAAATTGTATAATGAAAAATCGGATGAAGTTCGAGCTATTAGACGTGTGAGCGGAAGGTTAAAAGCAGAGGTTCATAAGCTCATTTGATAGCCAAAGCGCAAATAAGTGCAGAAATTCCAGGAAATTCCAGCACTATTCGCACTTTAGTGCCAAATTTTTCTGAGATTTAGCCACCGTCAAAATTCGCTTTAGCGTTGATAGTTGTAACCCATACGCCAGGTTCCCCCTACCTTCGGGGAAGGATTTCGGCCGAAATATGTCCTGCTTCTTGAAAAGTGAGGTATCAGAGGGTAGCGCCCAGGTATCGTCGCAAGACTATCGAAGTATGAACGAGTAGTAAAAAATCAAGTAACCAAAGTGCTTCGGAAATTTGAATGAAGGAACGGGAATTATGAAGTTGTTATCAAAATAAGTTGAGGAATGACTTACATTGATGGTTCGACAACCCTTCTGTGAAATTCCGAACGCTTGTTAAGAGTATGAACAACAGCGGCACGCTCACACTGAATACTGGATGACTTTGCAGTGACTCCCACAACGAAACCTACAAGTAGGAGATAGTCGATTCAAGTACTCCTTCTGAATTTCAAAAACACACCGAGCGCAGCGTAGGATCAGCAATCCAGTTATACGAAGTTAGCACAGCAGACAAGGATATCAGTAAGAGAACAACTGAAATTTTACTTCTTCTCGTATGAAATGTGTTTGAAAAACTGATCGAAAAGGAAAAAAAACAAAGAAACCCCAGGTAAGATAAACAGACGCACTTCTCCAGCGAGTACATCTCGGACCCATATGTGATATTACTTCGGTCAGCCTCCTTTCGAAAAATTTCAGGTCTGGAAAGCTACCCTCATTATATCGAATACTAAAAGAAAAGTACTAAATTTATAGGATTATTGATCAATCAGTAATTTGTTTGGTCCATCACAATGATAAACATAGAAAGGACACTCAGGATGATACTACTGATTGATTTACTGAAGAAATTGAAGTGGCTGGGTGAAACAAGACTGGATGCCATATTAATGAACAACGTAATATTATTTTTTATGACACCCCCAGGATGTGTCCCCTAAGAGAAGAAAAAAAATTAAAGTAAATCATAGTTAAATTAAAAACACACCAGATACCATAGAATTCTTTAGATTTAATTCAGCAGTTGATGCCAGGTTTGATTACGTGCTGTACATGTAAGTAAAAATTAATGAAAAGGGTGGAAGAAAATGAGGAAGAATTTTCATCAGAAAATAATCGAAGGTCATTTTTACTGAGTGAAAACTCGTAAACAATTAGATCGCAAAACCAAGCTTCCTCGAACTGAACAAATAGGCAGGCTTTTTGTACTAGTTTGTTCGAAAAGTAATGCGACACTTTGATTGAATTGTTCTAGAAAAAGACCAAAAATCATTTTGGATGTTTTTATCCCTGATTAGTGGAGACTGTCCTCTGGGGTTAAATGGGTACATCATGACTTTGCAGAAGTTTTCAAAGATTAAAAGTCCATCAGAGGTCGAGCTACTCTTGGACCTTCCCCTATGAGTTCCCGTAGGGCCACTCAGCAATAGTCGAGGAAGCTAACACCTACGTTGTCTTGAGGAAGGATATCGCTTGCCATGGCAGAGGGTAGCTTTTGCATCAGCTTCCAAGCTGGACTTATTTAACTCGGAGGTAGGCAATGTATAGGTCGCCACCAGCACAGAATGACGGCCCTTTACTCAAGCTTCTTGAGGCGCAGCCGAACGTAACCACCAGTAAGTTGGCAACCTCTCTAGGCTCCACCTGACTGACAACTGCCATGCTTCTCCGCAATCTCGGTTATCGGGAAAATTTTTTGTGAAGGATGCCTCATGAGTTGGACCCGTCTGACAAGTCATACCGAATGACCGTGACTGAGTTTTCTTTTCCATTGTAAGAACTTTTGTGAGATCTTGTGGTTGGTAGCGAGTGTGGAGTCCTTGCGTACATCATGCACATGTCCCTCGCAGGATCTCTCAAACAGTAGATTGCTCAGCCAAAAACAGATGTGCATGGGATAAAGATTTCAGTGTGTTATTGGTGGGACTTCAAAGCGGTATCACTGGATACTAGCACCGTTGTAAGGACCACAGTCCACCTTAATCGACTTCAAAATATGGATGACACGTCA